TTGACAAAATATTTAAATTTAAAGTTAAGAAAACTTTTACTTAGAAAAAATTTGTCCCATTTCTACTGACTCCCCCTCATATCATTAAAAAATCTTAATTGTTGCTTTGTATTAAGTATGTATCACCTAAAATTTCAATAAAATAATTGTTATATAAAAAAAAATAAACCTATTATTACAGTATTATAAGTAAAGATTTGTTTCAATTATATTTTTAACAGGCCATCCAGATTCTATTAAATCTAGATTGAATCTACATTAAATTATATCAAGCCAGCTTTTTTGTACATTCTTGGGTTCGTTATTTAAGTTTCTTGACCAATTTGAATAGAATTTCTAATCTGAATATCTGAATTTATCTAGATTTAAGGATCAATTCAGACAGTCAGATTTCAGATCGAAATACTAGTGAAGACTTAATATCTTATTACACGATTATCTGCTGTATTAGTTGTATTTTCTGAAACTAAAATAGCTCTTTATTGTTATTGTGCTTTTGAGATATAAACTATATTTTTTATAAACAATACTAGAACTAGAGATATACCTATGTAAAATAACTAAACTATCGCACTTTGACCTGAAATGAATTCTTATCACATGATTCTTATGACTTGATAATGACGAAATATGAAATATATGCTAGATTGATCACGCAAGAAGTATATACCTCTAACTAGAATGCTCTGGTTATCAAAAATTATTATACAATTAATTCTAATAGATTTCCTTACTTATAATACTCCTGTTCTTGATTTGCCCAATTGATATAATCATTCCATTGTTGAACATTTTGATCTCGTTCACTTTCTGCCCAAAATTGAGCATTAAATCGCATGTTTTTATATAGCATACATAGGTCGCTTTGAGGTGATAAAAAGCAAATTTCTGGAATATATTTTTCCAAATTCGTACAAAAGACTATCGACTAATATGGAAATCAGAAGTCTCATCTAAACTTGATTGATAGATAAGGTAGAGTCCAATATAGCTTTCATTTGCAGGAAGAAATATAATAGCTATAGTATCTTCAGAAAAATGATGGCCTAATACAGTAAAATTTTTATTTATGCATATTTTATTAATTAAAAAAATATATGTATTTACTATGCTTAAAACATTTTCAACCTTTTAAGAAGCTATATTTTCACATCCATTTTTGATACATATTCTATACCTATATAGATCACTTTTTTTTAAACCTTTGATCAAAGGTATCTCAACAGTTACCAAATAAATTTCTCTATTAATCCATAGAATTCAAATAAAAAACAAGTACATTTAATTTTGTTAGGTGTTTGTTGAGATATCTTTGATCAAAATCAGAAGACATTTTGTCACAGTATTTTAATAGGTATTTAAAATTTTGTTAAAACTTTGATCGAAGATATCTTGAACAACTATTTAATGAAATTTGGTATACTTTTTTTTATTTGAATTCTTTGAATACATGAATTCAAATAAAAAAAGGTACATCGAATTTCATTAGGTAATTGTCGAGATATCTTTGATCAAAATCAGGAGATATTTGGCTGCGGTTTATATTTAAAACTTCGATCATAGATATCTCAACAACTATTCTATGAAATTTGATGTACTTTTTTTTAAATTTGAATCCTGTAGATTCATAAAATGCAAATAAAAAAAGTTCACCAAAATTTATAGGTGGTTGTTGAGATACCTTCGACTAAAGTTTTAAAAAAGAGTAATCTACATAGGTGTGAATTTACATTATTTAAATATAACTAATATCACTATCAATTTACCCAGTGATGGCAATCTATAACAATTTGAATAATTAACTATAAATGTAAGAATATTTAAAACAGTCGCAAATGATAAAGCATTATGGGATTTTTTTCTTGTAAGTGTGTGTACAATTGGTTTAATACCATTGTCTCGATAATTATTACGAATAGTTCTCCATTTTTATTCTGATAGTGAATATATAGTTCGAAAAGCTACTTTGCAAATTTCATTATTATTAAAAGTATATTTAACGGTTAAGTATTGTTTTTCTTTACTACGCAAAGTTGTATCTTTAGAACGAGTCATTGTATGAAGCATTCCTATGAAAAACATACTATGCTCTGTTTTTGATAATTTTCGAATGTTATCAAAAATTTGAAACACAAGTTTATGATTAATTTTAGTTAAACACATTTTAGTTTTATAGCAAACTAATGTACGAAAGTTAATAAAAAAGCCTCTTTTTCCTGCTGATCTAAAAGATCTATCGCTTTCTCGTCAGTTTCTTGCTTATCATCACCTTCTTTAATAGTATATTGAGTAAATATTTTTTGAAATTTTTCGATTTGCAAATGTGTAAGAATTTGATTATTAGATTTTTGTATTTCTTATATATCATTATATGTTATATTTTCAGGTGAAGATTCTTTATTATCTAATGATTCTTTTAGTTCTAATTTATAATTATTGTTTGTTTGATAAAACGTTTTAAGCTGATTAAATTCTTTTGTTAACGAATATATTTCTGAATATGTTTCTAAAAAAATTGAAGAAACTAATGTATATGTTGAATCTATATTTTTTTGATAAAATCTGAAGAAGCCAAAGCTTAATAATTTATAAGATGACAAAGTGGTGGCAGAAAAAATTCGTGATCAGATGATCGCCGATGCTTCCGAACCCCTTCGATGCAGCCCGAAAACTTTATACAAAATTTATGCATTTTTCCAAGAATGAATATCAGATATATTAATATTAATATGTGTACCACATA